GATTTGTGCGTGTATTTGGATAATATGTCAAGAGCGTCGAAGGCAAGTTCCATTCACATTACATTCAAATGCGCATAAATAACTAACACAAATACTTTTGGGCCCTGAACGCAAGAGTCTTACTCCTGCTGTTTAAATATTGAAAATATACAATTTTACAGTGTAAGTAACTTAAATGAGATATATATCAGAAACTGAGTTTCTTTAAAATAAACTGAATCGATCTATTTGGTTTCAGGGCGGTTAGTAAACCAAACTGTTCACGTCGGTGATTACAGATTCTTCAAAATTTAAGTAAATAAATTAAATGTTGTATTAGGTAATAACTTATAAATAATAATGTCCATCTTGTTGAGGGCGGTGCCAGGGTAGGGTAGGTTAGGGTATACGAGCTGATGACAAATTTGTGAATGATAAACAATCGGTAATCTGCTTGTGTCCATGGCAGCGCACTCAATCAAATGCAGGACAGGATGAGCAAAAGGATGTGTCCGGACGCAAGTGAGGCCAACAAAAAAAAGGTGCAAAATGTCGAGGATTTTATGCGCATTAATTAAATGTAAGCCAGGACAAAGAAACGAACTCAAAGGTAGCACTCGAGCCAGCATCACAAGTGAAATATTTAGTATGATATTTAAGCTGATTGAGATGAATTATCTTGAAATGAATGACCAAAGAAAAAAAGAAAGGTAAATTTTGATCCATTTGGATTGCCATTGAGCCGTGGCTACGGTAATTTAATGCTCAACATGTGGGCGGGCATAAGCGGGCACAGAGCTGAGAACTGGCATGGAATCAGTTGCGCTGGTCTGCTCAGCCAGCGCAAGATTGCCCAGAATATAATTACAACAGATGGTAGGAAACCGAGCACCAAGTCCTTCGCAGGCCCGCGCAAATTAAATATCGCCCAACAGGGAAAGCGTCCAAAGTGTCATTACAAAATCTTGTTGCATACGACGAGGCGCTGTAGCTGCCAGGCAAGCGATTAAATTGCGCAACTCTTCATATGAGCTGCTGTGTGCATGTGTGTGTGTGTGTGTGTCTGTGTTTGTGTGTGTGACGAAGCAGTTACATTCACAAGCACTTTGGCGCAATTAAAGTTTCAAAATGCCATCGGGACGCGGTTCCCATGGCAGCAGCTTTTATTTGACTTCTACAATTATAGAGCCGAGTTTTTTTTTACAATAGTATAAGGCAGTGTTTCCGCTGCTTCGAGTTCGACCACACCAAAAACTACTGTCTCAAACAGCCCAAGTGTGGTAGGTGCGGTCAGTCCCATTGGACAAACTCCGAGCAGTGCCAGGCCAAAACAGTGGCAGACCTGCGATGCTCCAACTGCGAGGGAAACCATGCTGCTTCCTATAAAGGATGCAAAAGCTATCAGGTGAGACTAAATGCCAGGCAGCCGGCCATCAATGTCTCCCCTCCTACACGATATAGCCATCCTCAAAATACACGAAGAACCACTCAGCAGTTCGTACCTTCCCGAATTGTGCAACAGGGCCTGTCGTATGCTGATGCGCTACGGCCAGGCCATCATGTACAAGTCCGCCAACCCCCAGCGCGCACTCTTCAGCCCACCGTCAATCCAATGCAGCTCCAACAACCACTGCAAGGGCCTCAGGAGCAAGACGCTTCCCTTGGAGGCATCCTTCAAAACCTCCAGCAGTCCATTGCAGCACTGAATGCCGCAGTTGCAACCATTCTGGTTAGCATTAAAGAGCTAAAGGATGCGCAAGGTTCCCCGCAGCTTAGATTCCCAAAAAGCCGCAAATAATGGCTACCCAGTTACGTCTCGGATCGTGGAACGCTCGTGGCATCCTCCAAAATGCTAACGAGCTCAAGCTTTTTCTGAAAAAGCATGATGTAGACATCATGCTCATCTCAGAAACACATCTGCACACAAACTTGTACCTAACAATGGAGGGGTACGTCTGCTACCGTGCGGATCACCCTACAGGACGAGCCAGAGGTGGTGCTGTAGTGCTGGCAAAGCAGGATTTAGCACACTACCATCTACACACAGTGACCTCCAGCGACACACAGCTGGCTGCTATCATGGTGGAGACTCCCTTGGGCGAAATCCTCGTTGCGGCAGCATACCTACCACCAAACATCCCCTGGAACCGAGCGGAATTTGATTCCCTGTTTGGCCAGCTTGGCCCCAAATTCATCGTTGGAGGCGACTTCAACGCTAAGCACAGACTGTGGGGAAACTACAGAGCTGACAGCAGAGGCACTGCGCTCCATGAGGCGCTCACTCCCTGCTCAGCCCAGGTACTGGCCACCGGTAGACCTACCCACTTTCCGTACAACCGGCAAAGTACGCCTTCCTGTATCGACTTTTTTATATTCAAGGGCATCCCCAACAGCGTACTATCGGTTCGCGAAGAGTATGATCTATCTTCCGACCATCTGCCACTCCTCACAACGATCAACACGGCTGCACAAAGGATCCCAAAAAAGCGCAGGCTTGTCCTCCCTGGGTCGAACATCCAACGATTTAAGGCCGAACTAAATAGCTTGATCAACCTAAACACGCAGATTCTGTCAGTTGAGGACGTCGACGCTGCAGTACAAACCCTGTTGGACCAAGTACATGCCGCAGCCGCCAACGCTGCGCCCGCACATATCTACTCAGCCCCTACAAGCCAGCGGCCAAGGACGTTTTCCCCCATATTGGAAGGTCTTCTCGCCCTAAAAAAGCGACTGAGGAGGGAGTATGTCCGTACCCAGGACCCCACGATTGACAGGATCTATCGTCGTATTGCTAACAGGGTCAGGAAGGAGCTGATTATCTCGAAAAGAAATGCCACAGACACCATGCTGGAGGAAGCAACGGCAGACGAGAGCTCCAAATTCGCGCTGTGGAAACTTAGCAGTCGATACAAGCGGCAAGCTGCGCCAAAGTTCCCCGTTCGACTTCCCGATGACACCTGGGCCAGATCACCAATGGACAGAGCCGAAGCCTTTGCCTGCAACTTGGAGGAGCGCTTCAAGCCGTTTGAGACCGCATCGCATGCAAGGATACAGCGAGTCGCGCAAATCCTGGAGGCGCCACTCCAAATGTCACTCCCTGTATCGCCAATCACCTTCCAAGAAGTAGAGCAGGAGATGAAGAGATTAAAAAGCAGCAAAGCCCCTGGGGAAGATCGGTTGGACAACCAGACAATCAAGCTACTGCCATACAAGGCGGTGCTTTTTCTCGTCGCCATTTTTAATGCAGCTCTTCGGCTAGGTTACTTTCCAGTGGCTTGGAAGAAGGCACATATAATCATGTTGCACAAGAGCGGAAAGCCCCCTAATCAACTGGGATCCTATCGCCCCATCAGCCTCCTGCCTGCCTTTGGTAAGATTCTGGAAAGGTGCATCCTCAGAAGGGTCCTGGATACCCCGGAAATAAAACGCTTGATCCCGAAGTTCCAGTTTGGGTTTCGACTCAAACACGGTACCCCTGAGCAACTACATCGGGTCACAAATTATATTTTGGACGGCTTTCACAGGAAAGAGTATGTGGTGGCAGCATACCTTGACATCCAAGAAGCCTTCGACCGGGTGTGGCACGCAGGACTCCTCTCTAAGATAAAGGACAAATTGAATCCGCAGCTATTTAGCACCATTGCGAGCTTCCTAACTGAGAGAACCTTTCAAGTGGTGCAGGATGGAGTAGCCTCTCAAACCAAACGCATAAAAGCGGGCGTTCCACAAGGCAGCGTCTTGGGTCCCACGCTATATAGCCTGTTTACACATGACATGCCCACAGCAAATGCAAGCAGACGGAATGATCGGCAGGACCTTCTGGTGGCCACGTTTGCTGACGACACGGCAATCCTTGCAAAAAACAAATGTGTGTACGTGGCAACTGACCTCTTGCAGGAATACCTCAAGCGATTTGAAAACTGGGCTTGTAGATGGAACATCGCAGTGAACCCTGGAAAGTGCGCCACGGTTACCCACACTCTACGCAAGGACTCATGCCCCGGACTTTTTCTTCATGGTGAGCTTCTAGAGCAATATCGTCAACACAAGTACCTAGGTGTCACTCTCGACAGACGACTTACATTTAGTAAGCACGTCTCTGCAGTAACGAGCAACATCAAATCTAAGATAAGGCGAATGAGCTGGCTCCTCAACTCCAAAAACAAACTCTCGCTCCGAAACAAGGTCCTAATCTACAAGGTAATCCTTGCCCCAGTGTGGCGTTACGGGCTTCAAGTTTACGGTATAGCTGCAAAAACACACCTGAACAAAATTCGCATCATTCAGGCCAAAACCCTGCGCAAAATAACTGGAGCCGAATGGTATATTCGCACACGCGACATCGCCAAGGACCTCAAGGTTCCAATGGTGGGCGACATAGTCAACAGGCAAGCAGCGAGCTACTCAACAAAGCTCCACAACCACCCAAACATCCTGGCGAGGAGCCTGCTAAGGAGGCGAAGAAGAAGGCGACTGAAGAGGACCTACCCAACCGACCTAATCGATCGTTATGTATAGGTGACAAGCTTCGTTAATTACACCAAAATATGTTTCTGTAATCTGTTAACCTAATTGTATAACTAATTGTAAAACCACAATCATCGCTAAGCTAAGTAATTATGTCACTCTGATAAAAGTTGCTAACATAGAGTAACAGGATACCAGATTTCTTAATAAACAAAATATAAAAAATAAAAAAAAAAAAAAAAAACGAGTTTTTTTTTCAGCTTTAGCCATTTTGAGGCTTAAGTGCCTGCCGGAGGGCATGGTCGCGTGTGAATTTTATGGTCTGGAGTTTTCCTACCATTCAGTTAATAGTTTTGTTTTATGTGTACTTTATCGTGCCGGCGTGATGAAAATAAATATTTAAGCTAATTTGAAAATAAACCAAGCTAAAGAATGTGAAGAGAAAATGTATTTAATTATAGATAAACAAATGTCAACGATTAGTCAGTCAAGCAAATTATTTATATGTAATATTTTATGGGATGTAACAAAGTAAAATAAAATTGCTAACTTACGTGGCTTCGCTGACTAATGAATCTACCAGGGAAGCTGATTTGGGTATGCTAAAAAAAGATATGTGCAATAACTAAAATTAATAAAACCAATAATTCAAAAATTATAAAAAAAGGATAAATAATGCATCTAATTAATAGAAAACAACAAAATGTAATAAAATCTAAAGTATATATGAGCCTTATAATGTATATATAAGAGGTTATAATCGGGAACTCCCGACTAGGGGATATCCTGAACCCTCTTATTCCAACGCTAACTCTAGTTCTTATATGTTGTGAGATCCTTGCGTTCATACATACGGACGGACGGACGGACGGATGGAGGGAAAGACAGACGGATATGGCTGGATCGATTCGGCTATTGATGCTGATTAAGAATATATATTTATACTTTATGCGATCGGAAATGCTTCCTTCTGCCTGTTACATACAATTGAACAAATACATGTTACCCTTTTTACTCAGAGAAAAAGAAAAAGCAGATATATTTAACTTACAAAACTACGATATATATATATATATATAATCTGTTCACGGAATCTTCAGGTATTTTTACTTGTATGAAACTCATCTTGAAAATTTAAGCTCGAGGGTTCTTAGTTAAAATATTTATGATATAAGCATTTGACAATTCCCGAAACTTGTCTACTTTTTAAGAACCGGACTTAATAAAATAATAATAATAATAACAACGATTATAGAAATAATAATAATAATAACAATAATTATAATAATACTAAGAATATTGATTGTCAATTTAATAAAAAAATATTACACGAAAATGCGCTAATGAAATACCTAATTCTTTAAGGACTCTTCAACTTGACCCTAAGTTTACTATGCGCTGAGTTTTGCCACAATATTTACCTGAAAAGAGAAAAGGTTTTAAATTAATAACGGTTGCATCGTTAACGATGGAAATGTTAAGAAATTAATTAGACATTTTACGTTAAGAAGGCGGGCAAATTGGGGCGCCAAGAAAAGGATTACCTAATGACCGTACCGACCCGCTCCACATGCAACCGCTGAATGAATGCCTTTTAATTAAGTCTCGAGATATGATTACAAAAGCGAAATGATGTTAAACGGCGCTTCAACATGAAAGCCAGTGAACGGAACTTGATTGTTTTTTGCACCACTGGTGAAGTTCAAAGTTCACACGCAACCAAAAAGGAAAGCTGGCCCCAGAGTGCTGTAACTGCCAATAAGCCCAAGGAACAAAATCAGGGTAAGACATAAATCTTTTCAAGCAGCCAGGCGTAAATCAAAATTAATGTAAGACCAAATAGAAATATTGTTATGCTCTTAAAATGTGTGTGTGTGTGTCCAACGGGCATGGCGGTGGTAACTCGACGAGCATTTCAACAATTTGCCATCAAGGACATTCACAATGTATCTTGTGTTTGTTCTGTTTTAACAATCAATTGATAGGAATAACAGAATCGAATCAAAGTAAAACACACACTCACACTCAGGTGCAAATAGAGAATAAAAAATTAAATTTGCAATAGAGCTGGAAATTGAAATGTAAATCGTGCTGACCTTGGCCCAATGCATGCGCCATGTTGAAGCCTGATGCCTGAGTCCTTAGTCCTGTGATAAAGTACTGAAACAAAACACGAACGACTGCCATTAAAGGGCAGGCAACAACTAAAGTGCAAGTAAGGCAACAATAGCAAGGCCAATTTAATTCTATGCTGCCACAAGAATCTCACAAAAAGAGCAAAAAATTCATGGACTTTTACAATTTATGCAAAATAATGCCCCATGCTGCAATCAAAGCCCTAGCATTTTCTATTTAATTAAGCTCAGAACTCAAACTTAACCGCCTATGCAGAATGTAGTTTTTAACTTGTTGAAGCCACAGCTAAACTTTAACTACATCAGTATAGCATATCATGCCTGTCTTAATAACGCTAATTAAGTATACGCCATGTACACGAGCTGTCATTTGATTTGTATTTGAAGGACACAACAAAGCGATGGTGCAATTAATGTAATTTAATTAGTCTGATGAGTTGAGCCATGTGAAAACAATGAATGGAAGGCCGACTACTTCAATCAACCAAATAAACAAGCAGTCGTCCTTAATGCTCGCAATTAGAACAATTTAAAAGTTTAATTTGATTCAGTGAACAATTTCAATCATTTAGTTAAGCAATTATAAATATTTACTAAATTATCTATACAAAGAAGAGAGAAGATTAATTTCGAGCACTCCTTAGTGGAGACTACTTCCATGTCATGACAAGATAATAAAACCTCATTCACGGGCATAAAAAGGGCATAAGCTATCTCTCCTAGCTAACTATCTATATGACTCCAAACCAGAATCTTAACAGGTCACCAAATCTGAACATTTTCGAATCTGTTACATTCGTATAAATCCCTTCAGTTCCATTAAAGAGCATTGCATAGTTGGCTTATTCTGATACTAATAAATAACAATTTAGTTCGTCTACTCATGTCTAGTTAGCATATAAAGTGGAGCTATTGAAAGTCTCGTTAATTTATTCTTTTGAAGTAGTTACTTTTATGACTTGCGGCTAGGACTGCAGTTCATAGTTCATATGTCACGAGTGTAAGTGAGAAAGAGAGATGCTGTTCAAGTTTTAAAATCGACAATACCCTCTTGAACTTTCAGTGGTTCGGTGTTTTTTTCAATTGCTATGCAAGCGGTATTAGGAGGAGGCGGACTTAAGAGAGGGCTTCAGCTTTGTTGCGCCGTGTGCGCATATTTCATTAGTCAATTACAAAGCAAACTATTGACAGATGCTAAAGCAGCTGTCGCTTGCAATTTTCAATTAAGGACTGAGTGGCGAGCATCAGAGCTCATCCTGCATTATAATATAGCTAAGGTCGCATTGCCACAGGACACCAAGGCCACTGAGCGCCAGATAACCAATTGAGGTGAGCGGCATCAGAAAAAAACATCTTAATGAATAAAGCAGTTCCTCAAACAATGCAATCCGATTAAAACGGCACCATGATGTGGCTCTAAGCATCAAGTATTTAATTAAAAAATATTAATGCATTGGCATGCTGAGGGTACAACAAGATTATTCCCGAGTTAAAATCTTCATACACAACTTGTAATTGCAGTCATTTTAATTGGATGACATGTTAGAGTTTAAATAAAAAGGTAAATCATTAATCTGTTAATAGAAACGGAACTATTAGCAATACAAAAAATACAAATTTATAGGCGCCCATTGTACTTGTATCAAAAGAAAAAGCGAAGAGTTGCCTACAATTAGAGGCAGCTTGTTGCATTTCATATGAACATCTTGTCAGTTTCTCTCTGAGAGTCAACATTTTTAGCCGCTCCTCAGGCGGTCAGAAATTTAGGATGTCAAACAGGAGCCGTGGGACGCATTTGCTTGGCAGCACAAATGGCAGTCATGTTCCACATAAGACGCCAGGAAGTGGCTCGAGACGGAAATTGTGTTGGCTCAGACACACGGTATATGGAATATATGAAGTTGCTTTTGCGGCGGTCTCCAACGTGCACAACCGCTGGAAGCTGCGACAGCTTTTTTTTTAGATAAGGGCAAAGGTCATGCTGGTTCTCCGTTTGGGTCTGGCGCACGGAGATGCCCGACAGCCTGAAAATGTAATAAGTTTGTTCAAAAATATCGACAAAGTTTTACAGTCTGATTATTGCCTGTCAAGTGCACAAACCAACAAGTCCGTAGAAGAGTTGCCACAAATAATTTAAGAGCTTATTGGATAAGTACTTATGGTTTCTGCGTACTTGAAGACAGGTAACAGCCTCAGGTGATTTGGCTGAGTCAAAGGCTACTGTACTTGGGCGCAACAGCTAAATTTATATCGCAATCATGTAAGCAAAATCTTTCAATCAATTGAGTTAACGCTGCATTTGACACTAGGCTAAAGTTAAAGTTTTTCTGACGAGTGAGGTAATATATGCCTTATTGGACTGTACCGCGTCTGAATTGACGGATTGCCCCGCTTCCTTCTCTTTACTTCTGCTCTCTTATCTATAAGAGCGAAACTTCGAAGACAAGATAAGGGCAGCATCTCTCCTGTTCGCAAAATGAAAGCGGGTATCCCCCAAGGCAGCCAATACACATAACATCTCCCTCTATCCTGGCAGAAGAGCCAAGTACCTTGGAATTGTATTGGACGAGAGGCTTAGCTTACGGACGCACATCGACAGCCTACATAAGATGGCCAATACCAACTGGTTACTTAATCCCAACAGTCCATTTCCACATCGCTGCAAACGGGCAGTTTACAACATAGTGGTTGCGCCGACTTTGATACAGACATTCCAAATCTTGGCCTTGCGCCGAATCAGTGGAACTGACTGTCAGAAGTTCTACCTTGCACAATGACCTCAACATGGAGACCATAGAAAGCGAACGCTTGTAGCGACACTGCAACTGGGTAACAAGAGACCACGTTGAGAGGTATGTCGTCAGAGAAGATCATTTAAGGACCTCGTTCAATTACGACAGAGGAGACGCCCCGGAGTCAACCTTCGTGACGATGCAGCCCTATTACAAAAAGCCGCTTTTGTCTCCGATTTTTACGGTTGGGTTTGGTTATGAAGATTATTCAATGCGAAGGTGAAGTTCCCCCAGTGCTGTCTGTTCATGTGGTAGGGTGATTGGTGTTCGGTGTCTTTTTTCCGTCGGCTTAGGACGACTGAAACGGACAGACCATCCTATGGTTGCACAGTTCCTGGAAAAACAGCTTACAGAAAGTCGTTTTCTCAAAAGAGCAGGAAAGTTACAAGGGAAGTGTTCACATTTTTCTGTCAGCTCTTTAATCACGCAACTGCAACAGAATTCTAGCTAAAGAATCTCTATCCTTTGTGCCATACTATCCATGATGCTGTGGGCCCTAAAGTAAAAAAGGTAATTATACTCGATGTGTCTATGCTGTGGGATAATATAAATACTAAATACTTGTGGTCTAGCACATTTGAGCTCTGAGATAGGCGTCCGTTAACTGAACATAAATATGGTTTTATATTTACTTTTCCGGAACCGAGGGTGTTAAAATAAAGCCAACCGTGTGCT